ATACAACCCTGAATCCAGGGAAGACGATGATGATCGCTTTCAATCATTTCAGTTCGAAAAAGATAACAATGCTTTGGATAATGTTTTCGACAAGGAAAAAACAGATATGGGGGACGTTGTATGGGATGTGCTAAATAAGATAAAATCTACTGATTGCTCCTTTGACATGTTTGATATAAAAGTGAAGCAAGATGATATCACATGGAAAAACTTGGGAGAAAAGTATGTAGCCACAATGCCTCTAAGAGGCATCGGTAATGTGCAGTGGACAAAAAGCCCACAAATTGGAGAAGGCTTCAAAAAAGTAAATTATTTAAAAACATGTGAACAAGCAGAAATAATATCACAACTTCTGGATAGGGACGAAGAAATAGATTTAAAAAAAGAACAGAAGATTTTCACATATCTAACATCTCCGCAAGAATTTTTTTTTGAAAAAAAAAGGAAACTGATGAAGGAACACTAATTGATGTGAGACAAGGTAATTCTCCACTATTTCCACTGTTGAAGACTTTGGTAGGAATACTAGAAGCTAAACAGGTTTCCTTGCTTCTTGCACAAAGACACATCAAAACACTTTGCTTAGAGGAGCCGGACAGAGGAATGCATCCCCAAATGACTGAGCGGTTAAAAAGAGTTCTATATGAAGAAGGCTTTCACAAAACTATCATTGTTGCGACACATAGTCCCTATTTTATAGATACCTTATCCGTCGAAAACGCACTAATTTTCTTTCGAAAAGAACCAGAGAAAAACGGCTTGAAAAGATTACCCATTAATAACGAACTATCAAAACTTCATGCCGTTGAAACATACAGGACCCTGCTATTTGGAACTAAAATATTATTGGTTGAAGGCCCAACTGACCGAGAAATTGTCCAAATTCTCTTTTAACAAATTGCGTCAAACGGACGACAGCCCAGAGAATTCGAACGAAGATCTCGAAATAACAAGTTATTAAATTATCCCTGTTCATGGTTGTGAAAACGCTGCAAAATATCGGAAATTTTGTAAATCAATAAATCTTCCTTGTGTGACATTATTGGATCGTGATGTCTATGTGAAAACTGATGGAGACTCTGTGGTAGGTTTTGATGGGATTGTTGACAAAAAAAGTATTGACAAAGAAAGCGAAAAATTCAAAAAAGCGAGGAATTCAAAAGGTTTGTGGGAAGAAACGTATCTTATTTTCTCGCAAATGGATTTGATGACTTTTCAGAATATTTTAAGATGTATTACAATACATTCATTTGGAAGTTTGGCGATTTAGAAGAAACAATACGGAGTTTAGAACCAATGAAAAGTTACATCAGTGATAAACTTCTTAAAAGTAATGATTCACTAAAGAACAAAATAAAAAGAGGACTTGATCGAAATGAAGTTGAGGACTTTGGCAAGTTGCTTATAGAAATCCCTGAAATAAAAAGATTTTTTGATTATCTAAAAAATAACTAGACAAATATAAGCAACAAAGCTTGAAGTGATTGATTGATTGATTGTATATTGTTTAACGTCCCTCTTGAGAATTTTTCACTCATATGGAGACGTCACCGATGCCGGTGAAGGGCTTCAAATTTAGACCTATACTCGGCACTCAGGGCCATTGAGCAGTGAGGGTTCTTTATCGTGCCGACGCCTACCGTGACACGGGACCTACGTTTTTAAGGTCATATCCGAAAGACCCGTGACTTTCACTTCTAGTGCCGAGCGCTTGGCGAAGGAACAGTCACTACCTATGTTTACGTCTTAGGTATGACGCGGCGCCGCGATCGAGAATCGAACCCGGGCCTCCCGATCACGAAGCGAACGCTCTACCACTAGGCTACCGTGACCGGTAGCTTGACGTGAATGATTAGTTTTTAAAAACTACATGTATAACAGTTACTATATAGTGTTTATATATTATATTTTTTAATTTTTATAAATGTGATATTGAAAATTGATATCAATGATGGGTTCAATTATTTTCAAAAGTAAACAACCAAACAGCTTAGATACTGACTATTACTGTTTTATACCTGCATTAAGGTGTTGTCTTTAAATACACGCTCCTTCACATTTTGCAAAGAAAACAGTACTTATATGTGTCAAATAGAGTGTAATTCCCAAGTGAAAATGCTGTCACTGAAAGTTTTTTTATGTAAGAAATTTCAAGAATTACAGAAAATTGCATAATTAAAAAAAACAAACTACAAACTCTTTGATGGGATGGACAATGAAGATGAACAAAAGAGTCATCGTATGAATGATCTTATTCCTGTTTCCAAATATGAGACACTCATTTTATACCCTCCAGTATTAAACTCGGTGTTCACTTGGAATCAGCTGCTTTTCAACATCCTGGCTCCGGACAAACCTTTTTGACATAATGGCTCCGGAAGCGTTTTTCCATCTTTGGTTCGGAGACTTTTGCTGCTTTAAGAAAAACTTCTAGTACTGTAACAAATACATTTTGTGTTGAATCCTTTGTTTGTCTGTTTTGTTTATGTCACTTGATGTAAATTTTATTAAAAATGTGATTTTTTTTTTTAGAAAAGGTAAAAGCAAAATTACTCGCAATTGAAACTTTATGATGAATTCATTGTCAAAACAACAAATATTATTTTCTTGCATATCTTTTTAAATGAAATAAAATCCATGCCTAAATGACAACTTTTGAAGTTAATGAGTTTGTGCCAATTTTGGTATGAAAAACCCTTTCCAAATACACTTGTTTTTTTTTTCTTTTTTGAAATCTTCTAGAACCGAACATAGGGTTGGACTTGCGTCACCCTTATAGAAATTGTTTTACCATTATCATTTTTGGATTGCACTTGATACATGTATGTGCATCATTATATCAGTTTTGAGTAGGAATTTATAGTGTGTTTTAAATGAATTATCATCATTTAATGAAGATGACAGAAACTATAATAGGCGTTAAGTACATTGATTCTAATAATGAGATGTCATTATATGCATAAAATATTCTGAAATGCGAATGGTTTAGTTCCTATAGGTAATGACTAGATGCTATGGCGTAAAAGAAGTCGAACATGAGTTATCGTTCATATAACGAGTTATCGTTCATAAGATGCGTAATACGTCATCATAGAGATCTATTCACTCTTACATGGATTTTTCCACATGTGTTAAAATAAACAAAAATAAAATAAATATTCTCTAATCATATTTATTCGATTGGTAATTTATATTTATTTCATATGTAATTTACAATGGGGTTATTATATATAAATCCGTATGCCGAAAAATGGAAATGTCAGTATATATAAACAATTTATCAATATAAATTAATCATCAAACATGGATTAATTATAGATAATCGTGGATTGATTTTAAGAAAAATAAAAGGAGTTGAGGTATAGTACTTGATATATTTTCTTTCTATATATTTATTTGTATTTCGGTTAATGCAGTTTGGTTGTTATGTGTATTGTGAATGGAGAATGTACAGGGGGGGAGGGGGGTTAATCCTACTGGAGACAGGCATCTATCGTTAAATGTGGTCATGTAAGAAACAAAAACCATACGTGTTTAAATGCTGCAATAAGATCGTCGCTCCAATTTTTCACTCATGGGAACACTAACAATTGCCGTTGGAAAACTGCTCGACACCCTGGGTCATTGAGCAGTTAGGGACCTTTTTCGTGCCAGCACCAACAGCGACAGGGAGGGGTGGAGCGGTTGTTTGTCAGAGTTAAGGAGCCAACAAGCACACTAAAATTATTGAATTATTAAATCTTATGCATATATTGTAAAGAAAAGGGGGCCTTGGTCCCCTGCACAGTGAGGGACCTTTTTCGTGCCAGCACCAACTGCGACAAGGGACCTCGGTTTATACGGTCTCATTGGAGGACCGGTCTCCACGTCCTTCAGAGGGATTCAAACCTGCAACACAAGGATTATCTCCTTAATCCGCGACTTCAAAGTAGACTCTTTTACTACTATTTCACACGGCGACGCAGATTTCAGTGGCGAATCCAGGAATCTTGAAAAGGGAAAAGGGGGGTGGGGGTGCTGTTGTTTATCAGAGTTAAGAGTTTGTCAGTTTTAAAATATACAGAAATGTAATGAATATTTTTTGATAATATTTATTCGATTGGTAAAATACATTTTATTAAAAGTTATTGAATTATTAAATGATTTGTATATATTCGACAGAAAAGTGGGCCGGGGTGGGGATGGGGGGGTGGGTGGGGGGCACTACCTGTAAACTAATCCGCCAGAGTAATTGAATGACTATTATACTGAGGTTGTGAGATAGAAATAATTATTTTCTTATTTTAATTAGAAACTTATACCTATACAACAACCACTAATAAGAAATCTGGTATTGTTTCACATGAATATCCAGGTTAGCGATAAGACTTAATTTCTCACAAAACTCAAGTTTTTTCCCCCGAGGCATATCGTTACGCAATAGAGCAAAGTTCTATGGGCTGGCCTGCACATGTTTTTATTTAAGATATTGTAAAAAGTTATTTGATTTTCAATGTAAATATTTGAATAAACTATATCTTTATTAAGTTATACACAAAAAAAATGACTCCTTTACCGCAGACAATCTGAGAAATAATAAATTTTCTTCTTTTCATCAAATGCAGATAACTCTTCATAAACGTTTAAGGTGGAATGTCACACCAACTTTTTATTTTATAGATCTTTAAGTCATCCTTTTTAAACAATGGTTTCAGCACTGAAAGGCTGATATTAGCTCTTGATTATTTATATTAATTTTTTGGAGTTTGACCCATTTGTCATGAAAATTTTAAACTTATTCTTTGGCCATATCTTTTGAACAGTAGATGCCAAGACATTTATACTTCACATATGTAATCTTTTTTGAAAGACCGTTCATTGGATACCAACAGCCTTGATCCTTTGACCTTGACCTTGTAGATTTCTGTACTTGTGAAGAAACTTCAACCTTGGCTATAACTTTTGAACGGTAGGGGATAGGACTTTCATACTTCATATACATGATCCTTGTGAGAAATACACCGATCCATTTTGCATCGATAAGCCCCGCCCACCTTAGTGACGTCTTAGCTACGCTTCCGGGTCGGACATTCCATAGTAAACATGGCGGGTGAAATCAACTTAGATTTCATCCCGTCGGACATTTCACTCGATTATTTTAAAAATATTGTATTGTCAAAACGTTCTAAAGAAAGGGGTTATAATTTCTTTATCAATGGCTACATAAATGCGTTGAAACTTTTCAAATCTAATGACACTTCAGTAGATATATCCGCAAAATGCTTTCGCTCAATGCGTAAAAGTGAAGCCCCGCACAAGATCAACATGACGATTACAACTTCGGCAATCACAGAGAGTCTCTGTACCTGTAAGGCTGGGTATGTACATTAAATGATTAATTTACGTAATTTAAAACTAAGAATAAGAAATAAAAATCGATATAATGAACATGAATTGATGTATCACAGACACAGGGAAGGCCTTTACTATCAATGTTGTTTGAATATTTTCGTTCAAGTCCACTTTCTTCCGTACTTTTTTCACGGTATGGTAGAGTCTTTCTAACCCATATTATGCATTCTTTATATATTAAAATGGTAAATGCATAAACCCATCTCGTTATTTTATCACCCCCCCCCCCCTCCTTATCTCAGATGGGTAGTAAACGTCAGAACAAATTTTCAGTCTCTACCCATCTCGCTTAGATTACCCCCCCCCCCTGGTTCGTTTTAAAACGTTTAGGCGTGTAGAGTTTGAGATTTATATATAAATATTATAAATACATGCTTACAAAGTACAATTATATATTTGTTTCTTAATTCAGAATAAGTGGTACTTGTTCCCGTGCAGTTGGTGTACTGTACACCATTGTACATTATAAAAACATGGGCTTGACAGAAGTGCCATCTGCATTGGCGTGCACTAGTCTGCCACAGCAGTGGCACAAACCTAGAGGTCCAAAGATACTTCCTGAGCCTGTGTCAGCTATGGTATTTGCCAAACCAAAACAAACACCCCGTAAAAAGAGGCCAGTCCATAGCACCATGCCCAAGATGAGGTATTATAAAGTACTTCTATATAAATACATGTATGTATATTTTATTCCTATGTATACCAGTCTGAATACCCCACTTTCTTATAGAAAGCATTTTTTTCTCTGAATTTCAAGCATTCCAAGCATTGACTTTAAAGAAATAAAGAAACTGAAGACAGATCCTTCTGCTGAGGGCACACCCCTGTCATACTTACTACAGGAAGAACTTCATCTTACACAGACACCTCTGGGTGATGTACAGCAGGGATCAATGCTCCCATATCAGGTACTAAATATTAACAAGATTTGAATAAAAAAGAAACACGAGTAATATATTCCCTTTTTATTTATTTATTTTTTTTTTATTTTTTACACTTTTACTAAAGTGTCTTGAAAATTTGTCAGTATTGCTGCAACAAACCAGTGTGCATTGATACATTTAAACATACTTACAGGAATTTTTCTCTTTAGTAACTTAAAACATTTAATTTGATTTATTGCTCGTTCAATATGTATCCTATGAGATGCAATTTGTCTAGTAAGATTTACTTCACCTGCACTAAGTGATTTTGCACTTGATGCTAAAGGGGGGATATTTAACCTTAGGTCTAGTAGAGCCAACTCCTTTTCAATAAGGAAACCTTTGTCTGCCATTAAGGCATCATTAGACAAGATAAATTCTTTTTCTTTCAAGTGCCTTAAAAAGTCATAAAAACCACACTGTTCCATAATATCATTATCAGAAATACTTCCAGAATACAAATCTGACACAAATAAAACTGAACCCCTAGGGTCACATACAACAAGACCTTTCAATGTATTAGAGGATTTGTAGTCTGAGTAACACTGACTTTGTTGTTTCAGAGATGATGGCTTCTCTGTCTTCAATTCAGTACAATCTAAAATGGCTAAACAAGTTGGAAATTCTATTTTAAATGATTCTGGCATATTATCTACAATGACATTTCGATGAGGCCAGTAGCTTAGTGAGCCTAATCTTACATGTAAATACATATACTTGGCCACTCCATTTACAACTGTTGACACTGTCTGAACCTTTACATTAAATCTAAATGCCAGATCTTTAACATGTAAACCATTTCTAAGTCGACACAAATACATGAACAGTTGTTGTGACAAAGGAAATCTGTCCATTTGAGCTTCTTTCCTTTTCTCCTCATTGACGATTGGGTTTGTGTCCTTACATGGAAACAGAAACGCAAATAGCATTAAAAATCTTGAAAATGTTAACCCAGTATAAAATTCAAATAAGTTCTTAATTTTTGACTTTGATACATCATCAGGAGTAAAAGGGGTATCCCTTTCTGTTTGACAGGAACCATCAGCGACCTCTGCTGCAACTTCCTTTACTTTCGAATCGATTTCCTTTCCTAGTCTTTCATTTTCTTCCTCAAGTTGCTTTATTCTTGAAGCAAGGGAAACATGTCCATGGATGAGAACACTGAAATATGAAATAAAACATATGATTGTTCAGGAATATACAAATTGAAAGATTATATAACAAAATTATCATTTATCTAAAGATTGAATTTAATAAATTGGGTTGGGGCAGTTTATAAACTATAAACTGCGTAAACTGTTCTAACCCACATTATACCGTATAAAATGTGGTGTTACAGTAGCTATTAATTTAATTCCTTATGTAATTTTCATTCATTTAGTTTGAGGATTAATGTTTGAAGATTAATGACCTTAAAAAAAATTTATCTAATCAAATGGCGTACACAATCAGATTAAATTATTTTAAAATAATACATTTATTGGGTTTTTTTCTAGTTGAAAAACTACAAGACCATTCCGTCCATTGAAAATGGGACTTGTGGAAATACTGTTTTCCCATTGGACAGTGAGGTTCCATTTGAAATAAACACAAAATTTAAAGAACTTAATCAACTTTACAACACAACACAAGAGGAAGCTGTAAGGATAGAAAGGTCAACTGTCCATCAGTCAAAGAATGAGGTTTGGTTTGCAGATAGAAAGACGCGTGTGACTGCATCCCAATTCCATAAAATATGCAAGAGGAAAAAAGATATAACGGACAGTTTTGTTTGCAATATATTTAATCAGAAATCTTTCAGTTCAGAAGCTACCTCTTATGGGAAATGTCATGAAAATGTTGCCAAACAAAAATTAATGGAGAGGCATCAAAATATTCACATTCACGACTGTGGGTTAGTTATAAATCCTTTGTTTTCATTCCTAGCTGCTACCCCTGATGGTAAAATTTGTTTGGATGGTCAAACTGGAGTTTTAGAGATAAAATGTCCATTTTCTGTGAGAAACCTTCTCATTTCAGAAGCTGTACAATTGCCAAATTTTTGCCTACAGGCATCTGGTGACTCTTACCAATTGAAAAAAAATCATGATTATTTTTTCCAAATCCAGGGCCAATTAATGGTGACAGGTACATCTTTCTGTATATTTGTTGTCTATACTAAGAAAGATTTATTTATTGAAAAAATACCAAGAGATCCTAGTTTCATGAAAGAGATGTTTGACAAACTTGCTAACTTCTTCCTGGAGCATGCTTTGAGTAAAGTAGATTGTGCATCAGCTTGATAGTTCATCTCAATGTTGCATAAAGATTCATTGATTCTGATGTATGTATCAATTATAAAGAAATGATTTAAATCATTAAATTATCTTGATCAAAAATACTCCTCGTTTTCACTAGTAAAGATACCGGTAGTTAAGATGAAGCCTTTAAAGCAAAAGAGACTGTGCAGGCCTTATATATGTCTGCACTTAAACAAGATCTGACATTCTTAGGAAAGGACTTACATTCTTCTTCTGTTTGACAGGCAACATCATAATGTAAGGCAGAATCTCTGTGTGGAGGAGGTTCTAAACTGCCACTGCTGAAAATATTTCGAATTGTTCTGAAATCCATTTTATTACATAGGAAGTATCATGCACTCTTGAATACATCCATTTACTTTAAATATCATTTTTATTTTATTTCTGTGGGTTATTAGAAAGCAGAAATTGTTTAAACATATCTGTATGAATGTATTATCTTCATTAAATTAAGTTTGAATTCAATGGACTGTGCTCGATCAAACCTGGTAGAAAAGTCTGTCAACTCATTGGACTGATGAGACATGTATACTATTTTCCGTCTTGATCTCCTTAGTTCACCAGTTTGTGCATCACATGGATCTGGATAGTCATCAGATGGGCCATCTATTGAAATGAAATGCTGAAATTGAACAATTAAACTGATTTTAAAAATTATCTTTAGTAAGTCTCTATGCAACAAGAAACAAATCCATGGCAGCAGTTCTCTGATACACCTCTTTCTCTCTCTATAAAATTGTATTTACATGTATACCCCAATGGTATACATAATGTCAGATTAATAATTTTAATTATGCTACTTCATTTATTGTGTAATGGTTAGGGCCGTGGATATCGGCCTGGATAGCTCAGTAGGTAGAGCACCTGACTAGAGATACAGGGGTCCCGGGTTCGATTCCCGGTCCAGCCATACATTTTCTCCTTTCCTGTTACAGATTTGGTGCCGTGCCATGCCCTGGAATTGACAGGTGAAAGACCTGCCAGGGATGAGCCTGGGTTGGGGTCTTTGGAGGGCCAAAGACCTTTAAGGAGGGAGGAATGTAATGGTTAGGGCCGTGGATATCGGCCTGGATAGCTCAGTAGGTAGAGCACCTGACTAGAGATACAGGGGTCCCGGGTTCGATTCCCGGTCCAGCCATGCATTTTCTCCTTTCCTGTTACAATTGATTCACAAATATTTTAAACTTTGATAACTAAAAAAATCCCGCAAATCCGAGACTAAAACTTAGCATATGATAAAGATTGGTTATAGATCTGACACACAATATGCACTTGAATGCAGTCCTAAATGATCGATCATTGTTTACATTGCTGCACTGCTGATAAGGTGTGCACATCTGCACATGTCATTGTACGCATTTGATTTGTAACATTACATTATAATTTCTATGATATTTACCTTTGAACATATATACGTAGTCGTATGTTTCGTAATTTTGTCAACATTAAGCTGATCGTGAGGTCGTCTACACAGGGAAATCCATCGCAGGCATTTTTGTAAATCAGATTTCGGCTTGGGAAATGGAATGAATTTTGCTCCCATCAGCTTATCTTGATACCTGCTATCGGATTTACACGTCCCAAACGAACAGTGCTTCACCATGGCAAAGTAGCAAATAATCAACTTTTAAAAAACAACGGATTATAAACAACTTTTCTGTAGCATCTCCGTAAACACAGCGCCATTTTGTCCGACTGATGTCCGACCTCCGCGCAGATGCAAATGACGCGATAATGCAGCGCTCTGATTGGTCAATATTCACACACCCACAAAAGAAATGGATCGGTGTATTACTTCATTGGATACCAAAAACTTTGACCCTTTGACCTTTGAGATTGAGTTACTTTAAAAAAGAAAATCTTGACCATAACTTTTAAAGTATTATGGCTCGTGCTTTCATACTTAACATATTTAATGCTTGTGAGAAGTTACTTCATTGGATACCAAGAATATTGACCCTTTGACGTTGGAGTTTGACCTACTTTTTAAAAAAATAACCTTGGTCATAACTTCTGACCGGTTAGAGCTAGGGCTTTCATACTCTATATAAGAATTCTATGTGGCAAGACCTTTCATGTTGATACGAATTACATTGACATTTTGGCCTTGACCTTAGAGATTTTTGTACTTCTTAAAAAAACTTTAATGTTTGCTTACTTTCAAATTTTACAATTGTTTTCCATTGAGAATACCTTACTTTTGGTACCTATTAATAAAATTTGCATTTAAGAAAAGTTTAATCTTTGCTATGTTGCCATACATCAGTGTTACACAAACACATCTTGTTTATTAGGTATTCATATGATGCATTCATTTACAGCAAATTGTTTAAAAAGAAATCATCTAATTTGAATGTAAATAATCATAATCCTACATGTCATTCATTGCTGCTGATTTATTTAAGATTGAAATTATTACCATGATCTTAAAAGGGTTTTCCTACCTACCTGTAGCTTGTACAAGCTAATAATTCGACATCGAACTCGACAACTTCTACCCTATTTACGGAGATTTAAAAAAATGAGTATAACCTGAAGATATGTCCCAGATCTCAGAGCTCTTCTCACCTACCTGTACCTTGTACCAGATTAGAATACAGTAAAATATTTTTCATAATCCTACCTGTCATTCATAGTTGCTGATTTATTTTATGCTGAAATTCTTACCCAGGTCTTGCTAAGGCAACTCCTTACCTGTAATGGAGAATGAAAAGATAGGTTCAACATGAAGATGTGTCCCTTATCTCAGAGCTTTCTCTCACCTACCTGTACCTTGTACCAGATAAGAACGCGGCAAAATATTCGTCATATTCTTACCCGTGTTTCATAGATGCTGATTTATTTTATACCGACATTATTACCATGATCTTACTAGACCACTCCTTACCTTTTATAGAAATTCAAAAGAAAGGTTTAACATGAAGATATGTCCCTGATCTCAGAGCTTTCTCTCACCTACCTGTACCTTGTACCAGATAAGAATACAGCCAAAATATTTGTCATAATCCTACCTGTCATTCATCGTTGCTGATTTATTTAATGCTGAAATTCTTACCCAGGTCTTACTAGGCAACTCCTTACATGTTATGGAGATTCAAAAGATAGGTTTAACATGAAGATGTGTCCCTTATCTCAGAGCTTTCTCTCACCTACCTGTACCTTGTACCAGATAAGAATACGTCAAAATATTCGTCATATTCTTACCCGTCTTCCATAGATTCTGATTTATTTTCTACTGCAATTCTTACCCTGCTCTTACTAGGCAACACCTTATCTTTTATATAGACTCAAAAGATAGGTTTAACATGAAGATATGTCCCATATCTCAGAGCTCTTCTCACCTACCTGTACCTTGTACCGTATTAGAATACAGTAAAATATTTGTCATAATCCTACCTGTCATTCATAGTCGCTGATTTATTTTATGCTAAAAATCTTACCCAGGTCTCACTAGGCAACTCCTTACCTGTTTTGGATAATGAAAAGATAGGTTTAACATGAAGATATGTCCCTGATCTCAGAGCTTTCTCTCACCTACCTGTACCTTGTACCAAATAAGAACGCAGCAAAATTTTCGCCATATTCTAACCCGTGTTTCATAGATGCTGATTTATTTTATACTGACATTATCACCATGATCTTACTAAACCACTCCTTACCTTTTATAGAGATTCAAGAGATACGTTTAACATGAAGATATGTCCCTGATCTCAGAGCTTTCTCTCACCTACCTGTACCTTGTATCACACAAGAAAACGGCAAAAAATTCGTCATATTCCTACCCGTCTTTCATAGTTGCTGATCTATATTTTGTTGAAAATCTGACCCTGGTCTTCAAAGGTAACTCCTTACTTGTTATATAGATTCAAAAGGTAGGATTAACATGAAGATATGTCCCTGATCTTAGAGCTTTCTCTCACCTACCTGTACCTTGTACCAGATAAGAATACGACAAAATATTCGTCATAATCTTACCCGTCTTTCATAGATGCTGATTTATTTGATACCGAAATTCTTATCCTGGTCTTACTAGGCAACTCCTTACCTGTTATGGAGATTCAAAAGATAGGTTTAACATGAAGATATGTTCCGGATCTCAGAGCTTTCTCTCACCTACCTGTACCTTGTATCAGATAAGAATAAAACAAAATATTTGTCATAATCTTACCCATCTTTCATAGATTCTGATTTATTTTATACTGAAATTCTTACCCTGCTCTTACTAGGCAACTCCTTACCTGTTATGGAGATTCAAAAGATAGGTTTAACATGAAGATATGTTCCTGATCTCAGAGCTTTCTCTCACCTACCTGTACCTTGTACCAGATAAGAATACGGCAAAATATTCGTCATATTCCTACCTGTATTTCATAGATGCTGATTTATTTTATACCGAAATTCTTACCCTGGTCTTACTAGGCAACTCCTTACCTTTTATGGAGATTCAAAAGATAGGTTTAACATGAAGATATGTTCCTGATCTCAGAGCTTTCTCTCACCTACCTGTACCTTGTACCAGATAAGAATACGGCAAAAAATTCGTCATATTACTACCCGTCTTTCATAGTTGCTGATCTATAATTTGTTGAAAATCTGACCCTGGTCTTAAAACGTAACTCCTTACTTGTTATATAGATTCAGAAGGTAGGATTAACATGAAGATATGTCCCTGATCTCAGAGCTTTCTCTCACCTACCTGTACCTTGTACCAGTTAAGAATACGACAAAATATTCGTCATATTCCTACCTGTTTTTCATAGATGCTGATTTATTTTACACTGAAATTTTTACCCTGGTCTTACTAGGGAACTCCTTACCTGAATTTACCTTCTTATTTTTAATTGTAATAATTATCAATAAACTAAATAACTTATTTATTCATTAGGAAATTTATTTGTCTGTTTATTTATGAAAATATTTTTTTCTTCATTAATTAATTATTCTAATGAGTAATTAATTCTTCTAATTATTAATTAAGGTTTATTTATTATTTCTCATAATTAAGTAAATGTTTGATTTTCTTATTTATAATTTATTTATTTATCATATTTATTCCTTTTTTATTATTCTTTTAATATTAAAAAAAATAATTTATTTACTATTTTAATTACTGTAAATCGTTTTAATTCCACGGTGTTAAAATTTCACAATTTCTCAAAAAGTACCAATCGCGATGGTTTTATTTTTACGATGCAAGAAATAAATTCAGAATATCCTATAAGCATTTAAACGTTTCTAAAAACTAATTAAGACATTCACGATGGGTATAATATCGCTGAAAAATGATTAATCGCGAACATAGCGAAATCAAAACCATCGTGATTATTTGCCAATCTACAGTATCTTTTTATTTATTTTGTTATTTACTTATCTTTTGTTTTATTTATTTATTTATTCATATTTTTTTGTATAGACGGGTTCTGTTTATGTATTGCCGGGTTTATGTTCCCATCCCTAGGATTTGTATACCCATCACCAGGGTCTAAATACCCATCACCAGGGTCTGTATACCCATCAATAGGGTTGGTATACCAATCACCAGGGTCTATATAACCATCACCAGGGTCCATATTATCCATCACCAGGGTTTGTTTGCCCATCTCCAAGGTCTATATACCCATCGCCAGGGTATGTATTACCCAGCACCAGGGTCTATATACCCATCACCAGGATCTATATACACATCACCAGGGTCTATATACCCATTGCCAGGGTTTGTATTACCCATCACCATCACCATGGTCTATATACCTATCACCAGGGTTTGTATACCCCTCACCAGGGTCTATATACCTATTACCAGGATCTATATATCCATCACCAGGATCTATATACCCATCGACAGGGTCTGTATTACCCATCACTAGGGTCTATATACCCATCACCAGGGTTTATATACTCATAACCAGGGTTTTTATACCAATCACCAGGTTCTACATACCCATCATTAGGGTCTATAGTATCTATCACTAGGGTTTGTATAGCCATCACCAGAGTCTGTATACCCATCACCAGGGTCTTTATACCCATCACCAGGGTTTGTATACCACTTTACAGGTTCTATATACCCATCACTAGAGTCATTACCGCTATTATTACCAATCATCAAGGTTTGTATATTTATATTTAGGATAGGTATTACCTGTCACGTACCAGGGTATACAAATTATTACCAGTCTCTGTATATTGATCACTTTTCTCTATATTAACAATGGTGTATCAGAAAGAGTCTGTATTTGCAAGGATTTGGTTTTTAATATAACAAAGAGTATGTGCATCGCAGAGGGCCTGTCAAGGGTCTCGGTGTCAACAAGGGTCTATGACTCTATGTATCACAAAGGGTCTTTGTCACCAAGGGTCTATGTTTCATGAAAAGTATGTATATTATCAATGCCCTGTGTTACACTAACGGTATGTGTATCACCAAGGGACTGTGTCACGAAGGTTATGTGTATCACGAAGTTCTTGTTTGTATCACCTAGGGTCTATTTGTCACCAAGGGTCAATGTATTACCAAGAGTCTCTGTATTACCAAGGGTCTGTGTGTCACCAAGGGTCAATGTATCACCAAGGGTCTCTGTATTAGCAGGGGTCTATGTATCACCGAGGGTCTGTGTATCACCAAGATTCTGTTTATCCCCAATGGCCTTTTTATCACCAAGGGTCTGTGTATCACCTAAGGTATATGTATCACCTTGGTCCTGTGAATCACCTAGGGTCTGTATATCAAAAAGGGTTTGTGTATCACCTGAGGTCTTTGTATCACCACGGATCTGTAAA